AGACAACCTCTCGTCAATATGCGTTTTTCGCATTGCATTGCTGCAAAAAACGCATAAAAAATGTAAATCGGTAGAAGACACCTTCCTGCCCGCAAGGAAGATGTAATTATTCTAAAAAAAAAAGTAATGAGGGATGAAATTTCATACCTACTGCGAGGCAAATAGCACAAATAATTATGCAGATTTGTTCACTCATACTCAAAGACATTGATGTGAGCATACCTTCGGCCCTGCATCAGATAACCATAAAAAATGTTTGATTTCAGAACACTGTCGTAATAAAGCTGAGAGCTTAGGAGAGCTATGATACACTTCAATGCCTCGATATGGATCGCTTCGGTGGAGTCACTGAAAATCAAAATCTTTTTAACAATTCATAACAGAAAAATCGTTATAAATTACGACCTTCTACATGTCTTTTTTTCAAACTAAAATTATTTTAGGCTGGGAAAACAGAAAAACTGAAGTTCATGTATACAACTGTTTTGTCATAATGACAGTGAGTCAAAAAAATAAAAAAAAAATTCTTACTTAACAGGTAAATCGATCAGTATATCCACTAATACATCCAGGAATTCTTCGGCTTTATTCTCATAAAGATTGTCATATTCTGCTTCCACATCTGAGCCATCCGCTAAACAAAATTTAAAAAAAAGAAAATTAGTCGAAACGCTTTTTTCAAGAGCGATGATAAATAACAAATAACAATAATAAAAACAACACTATACATGTACTGTGGCATTAACAGTCAAAACAGAGCTGTTGCGCTGAAACAAAAATTCGAAGGCGAGACTGAAACTCGAGAGCAGGAATACCCACCACAAACACATGAATTCGAATACTACAAGCAACCATCAAGAAGCATCAACAAAGTGTTCAAGTCAAAGCTCCCTCAATACTTACCTTCTATGAAAGATGGAGGCACTCATTAGCAGCCTGAGCAGTAATAATTACCCATCGTCAAAGATAACGATAGCTCTATCTTTCGAAGATCGATTAAAATCAGGCTGATGGTATTACGTAAAACGAATTTACTATCGTAACAAACTGTAAAGGGATAGGCTGGCCCAATGGCAGAGCCAAAACTTCGAACCTTAACGGGAGCGAATCACACTGGTGAGTATTAGAACAAGTACTTTTTTTTTCCATACTTTCATTATGTATTCGTAAAACAAGTGTGTATTACGAACAAAAAAAAAAATAATTGGCCAACGCACAGGCTATCCGTGCGAAGATGCGCTTTTTGCATCGTTCCCCGCAGCTTTTGTCACTGCCGGCTTCGGTTTTTTCGGCAAATCCTTCTAGCTAAACAAATTAAGAGTGGCCGCCAAAGCTGTCAGGAAACACCCCTTAAAATTTCAGCTCTCTAGCTTTCCTGGCTCCTGAGTCAGCAATTTGTTGGAAAAAATTTTTCACAAGTCCGCACTCGGGTACCACGATGCTTGGGTTTGAGCTCGGGGAACATCTTCCTAAAACTACAGTCTTTTAGCTCTACAGGTTCTCGAGTTCTGAACTTACCCGAGAAAAACTTTGGTGAACCCGGCGTAGGTACCACGCATTACCGAGGGCTGGGTTTGATTCGGGTCTGATGCCGAGGGCTGGGTTTAATGCGGACGAGAAACACCCTTTTAATGTTACAGTCTTCTAACATCTCAAATCCCTGAGTTATGAACCTGCCCGAAAAAAATTTTTGCGGGACCGTACGGGGGTACCACGCCTACCCGGGGGTTGAGTTTGAGATCATTAGTACCTACTTGGACGAGGAACATTCCCTTAAAATTTCAGCTTTCTAGCGCCTCATAATCCCGAATTACGAATTTACGCGAGAAAAATTTTGGCGGGCCCGTACGCGGGTACCACACTTACCCGGGAGTTGGGTTTGAACTCATTAGCACCTACTTGGACACGGAACATTCCCTCGAAATTTCAACTTTCTAGCTTTTCTGGTTCGCAAGTTAGCAGCTTACCCGTAAAAAAGTTTTGGCGGGCTCGTATGAGGGTACCACGATCACGCGGAGGTTGGGTTTGAGCTCATTAGTACCTACTTGGACGGGGAACATTCCCATAAAATTTCATCTCTTTAGCTTTTCTAGTTCGCGAGTTAGCAGCTTATCCATAAAAACTTTAGCGGGCGCTCGCGTGGGTGCCACGCGGGAAAGACCGCCCGTTTTGGGGATGGGGGCCCGTACGCGTATGTAGATTAAGCCCCCAAAGTTTCAGCCCCGTAGCTTTTGCCGGTCTCGAGATGATAAATGGCAACGCGCACCAGACTAGCCGGTGCGATCATGCGTTTTGTGCAATTCAGCTGATCGAA